CGCGGTGCTGTGCCCCCTGCTCTGGGTGACCCTGCTTGGGCAGGGGGTTGGGCTGGGGGACCCCCAGAGGTTCCTTCCAACCCCAACCATTCTGTGATACGACCCTGAGGACAGACAGATATTTTTCCAAGCGAGTGCCTTTGTGTCAGTAAGGGGTGATGCCTTCCCGCTGCCGTTGTGTCATTGCCGGGGTCGGAGCTGGTGAGAGCGACCCAAAGGAGCTGGAAGTGCTGCCAAGCATTGCTGGGTTCTGGCTGTCTCTGCTCACCTGGCTGCGCAGCCCCCGAGCTCTCAACCGGTGCCCCGGGGAACGCGTGGTTGGGGACTCCTTTGGTGGCAGCTCAGGTGGCTTCAGCCGCCCACGGAGCTGGACCTTGTGTGCCAGAAGCAACGCGGAGAGGGGATTCACGAGAGGATCGAGCTCCCCATCCTGGTGCGAGGTGACTGATGGGAGAGGGACGGCTCTGTGCCAGCCCCATGTTCACCCACCCACGAGCTGGAGGAAGGCAAGTGATGGGCAGCAGAAAGGGACAAGTCCTGTTTCCTGCTTCCTTTATCCGTGCTTTGGGCTGATGAGGAGGACAGCAAGATCCCCTCTGCATCAGGAGGTCGATTCAGCGTGGACAAGGGTGAATTTATGCAGGTGAGAGCCCTTAGTGTTGCATGGTGGGCTCCGAGTTGACCGTTACCACTCAGGGTGACATTTGGGCTGATGACTGATGGGTCCATGGAAATACCAGCTTTAGTGCTCAGTAGCCATCAGAAAGTGAGATATTAGGCAGGGAGCAGAGAAGAAAACAAAAAGCATTTTGCTGCTGTGAAGTCAATGGTGCACCAGCACCCGAACACTGGTCCCTGCATCCCAAGAAGGGCGCGGGAGAGCTGGAACAGGTTCTGCAAAGGTCCCGGGAACACTGGAGGTCTGGACCACCTTCCAGCCAAGCTGGACTCCTCCGTCTAAAGGTGAGGTGCCCAAGAGGGGACAGGGCAGGGGTAAAACTACAGGTGCCGTGGAGAAGGACTTCACTCTCAGCAGGTGCAAGGGCTGGGGTGCTCGATGCAGCCTGCAACAGCAGGTTCAGATGGAGCAGGGGACGGCGCGGGGCTAGAGGAGCAGAAGGTCCGCGTTGGTTCGAGGGGAGCGAGGCAATTCTGGGAGAGAAGCGGGGATGGGGCGCGGGGATGCCCCTTCCC